ACTCTGTGCTCTGGAGTGCTGTCCTCTGAAGATGCCGTCCACAGAGACTGGCGAAATGTTAGGAAAAACAACCTTCAGAACACAAAGAGCCTGAAAAACCCACAATAACCATTAGATCCCGGCCGTGAAAGCCTTCGCAAATACTTTTAATATTTTGTTTTTCATTATATAACACACCTTAGATCCTTTTAAAAGGAGATATGTGGGGTAAAAATATTTTGGATGGATGGATGGAACAATCAGTACTGACACTGGAAATCAACAAATAGATGTCATATTTATCTCTTTGCTAGAGAGAGAGAGAATAGCCTTTCACATCAACAGGCATATGATGCATGAGAAATAGCATTTAAAGGCTTTTCTTTTATGGAGACGGGATGCAACTTAACCCGAAGGATCCTCTTGTGGCCCCCCAAAGGCACAGTGTGATTGGGTTCATTAGGAGATTGAAGCAGTTCCTCCTCTTTGGTGGGAAATAACCATGGCGATCCATTCAAATGATTAACAGGTTTACTTGTACTAACATTAGGTGATTCAGCAGGATCAAAACAACTAAGGTCTGTTAATTGTTCATAGGGAGAAGGGAGAAGTCCAAACGGCAATTTAGGGGAATTTATTGAGGGGCAAGTCCAAACCACTCTTTCTCTGTGGGCTTCCTCAACTGAGTGCTCCTTACTCCACATCGTGCTGCAGCAAGAATGTCTGGCCCAATCTCCTTCACATGGCGGCTGATTGAAGGTCGAATCTGGTCAGATCACCCTCCTCCAATGACCTTTGCGCTCGAGGGAAGACACCATCCATTTTTGGTTCTCCATCACAGTCACCTTTTTATCTTTTAGATCAGGGTCAGGTAAAAGTCCTTCTACTTTTAAGTTGGGGAAGTCTTCTAATAGTTTGTGCACTTTTCCATACCTGAACTCCTCCTCCTTTCCTCCTCTCACTCTCACTTCCTCCTTCTTTATCTCTCTCCGCGGTACACACCTTTTCTCTTGATCTTTTTTATTCTCCTCCCATACTGGTACAGTTAACTCCTCCTTCTCTTTCCCCTTTCCTTCCTCTACCAGACCGACTTCTACCTTTACTTCTTTCTCCTTCAGTTCCTTCCCATCAATTTCTTCTACAACCAGTCCTTTTTTTCCTTTTTTCTCTCTCTCTTTCTCCAACACTTTTATTTGAGGAGACGGCTCACTTTCACTTTTCTCTCTCTTTTCTATTCCTCTTTCACCCACAGAGACAGACCATAAAATAAAAAGGGACTGAAAGCTAGATTGACAAGAAGGGCTTTCCTTTAAACATGCCTTTTCCCACCTTTCAATTCTATAGTGATATGCACACATTTAATGAAAGCTCCGAAGCCACCCCCATCTGTTTCTAACCATGGATCTCTTTCCCAGCATGGAAAACTACCATTTCCTCACAGGACGTCACAGACGTTATGTCAGGAAAAAAGGTGGAATGACTGGTGACAGAGTCAACCTCCCCACTCATGTTTGTGAAGGTGTGTCCTCCCAGAGCTGGATTTTATTCTTCTGCATTCTTTTTTGTCTGTTCATCGGGTTTGTCACTTGATCTGAAAAATTGTTTTCCACACTCACTTTCATTTATTCTCCTTTTAGGAGGAAAATGGTGAAAAGAAAGAAAATAGGACAACATCAAATGCCAGGGGAAAAGGGTGAATGTCTGGATGCTGAAGAGGCTGTTGAGAATCAAGTTGGACCGAAGAAACTAGGAGGAAAGAGCACCGATGAAAAGATGGATGAATCCATTTCTCCTACAGAAGAAATCCAAGTCCCTCAGAAAACATCCAAGGGAGAGGGAACCCATGAGTGCCCCAAGTGTAGGAAAACCTTTGCCCGTAAATCAGCCCTAGATCGCCATGAGAAAGTTCACAAAGGAGAGAAACCATTTACAGGCTTGGAGTGTGGAAGGAGTTTCAGTCGGTTTGCAAACCTTGCTAAACACCTCAGGATCCATGCAGAAAAGAAGCTATTTCAATGTCTGGAGTGTGGAAAAAGCTTTAGATGGAAATCCTGTCTTACCACCCATGAAAGAATTCACTCCGGGGAGAAGCCATTTCAATGCCTGGAGTGTGGAAAAAGCTTTAGAGTGAAATCCCATCTTACTGTCCATGAAAGAATTCACTCTGGGGAGAAGCCATTTCAATGCCTAGAGTGTGAAAAAAGCTTTAGAGGGAAAACACATCTTACTGTCCACGAAAGAATTCACTCAGGGAAGAAACCATTTAAATGTATGGAGTGTGGAAAAAGTTTCAGTCAGAGTGGAAACTTTGCTAGACACCTTAAGACCCACACAGACAACAAGCCGTTAGAATGTCTTGAATGTGGAAGGACCTTTCGACTGAAAATATTGTTGATGAATCATAAGAATATTCATCAAGGAGAGAAACCGTACAGACCTATGGCATGTAGAAAGAGTGTTGGTCAAGGAGAAAGAAAGTCATTGAAATGCAGGGAATGTGGAAAGAGATTCAGTCGGAGCAGCCTTGCCTTGCACCAAAGAGTGCACACTGGGGAGAAACCATATAAATGTTTAGAGTGCGGAAAGACCTTCAGCCAGAAGTCAAGTTTAAACTCCCATCAGAGAATTCACACAGGGGAGAAGCCCTTTGAATGCCTGGAGTGTGGAAAGAGTTTCAGCCAGAACGCAAACCTGAAAAACCACCAGAGTATCCACATGGGGCGGAAGCCATTCGAATGCAAGGAATGTGGAAAATGCTTTAGATTGAAAGATTCCCTTCGTAGCCATCAAAGTGTTCATACAAGAGAGAAGCCTTTTAAATGTCTGGAGTGTGGAAAGGCATTCCGTTGGAAGGCAAGCCTTTCTTTACATAATAGGATCCATACAGGCGAGAAACCCTTTGAATGCCAAGAGTGTGGGAAGACCTTCAGCCAAAAAAGTAACCTTATTTCCCATAAAATAATTCACACTGGGGAGAAACCATATAAATGTCTGGAGTGTGGGAAGACTTTTGTGCAACGTTTCCCCCTTATTATTCACACAAGGATTCACACAGGAGAAAAGCCGCATAAATGTCTGGAGTGTGGGAAGAGCTTCATACGTGGTGGAGATCTTGTTAAACATAAGCTCACCCACATAGGGGAGAAAAATTATAAATGCCTAGAGTGTGGAAAGAGTTTCATTACAGAGTCAGCACTTACTCGCCATCATATAATCCACACTGAAGAGAAACCATTTAAATGTCTGGAGTGCGGAAAGGCCTTCAAACAGAAGGAGTATGTCAAGATACACCATGCAACTCACATTGCGGAGAAATGTTATAAATGCTCTGAATGTGGAAAAAAATTAAAGTCAGCCCAAACTCTTAAACGACACCAAAGAGTCCATACAGGGGAGAAACCCTTTAAGTGTCAGGAATGTGGAAAGAGCTTTCGTCAGAGTGGTTATCTTACTGTGCATTCCCGAATCCACACAGGAGAGAAACCTCATAAATGCCTGGAGTGTGGAAAGAGCTTCCGTAGTTGGGGGAGCCTTCATTCACATGAAACCTTTCACAAAGGAGAGAAGGCCTTCAAATGCATGGAATGTGGGAAAAGCTTCCTTTCAGGTCATCATCTGAATCAACATCACAAAATCCACACCAAGTTTAATATCAAATATTCCTGCTGAAAATAATCGATATCAAAGTTCCTAATACAGTGAAAAGTCTTTTTTAAAATTAGAACTTTTGTTCCTGTTTCTCACTCATTTTTTTCTTGAGTAGGAAAGTGGCGACAAGGTTGTTTTTAACAGCAACCCCAATGAAATAAAATTGTGACGTTGGAGGAATTTATATCCTTTCTGGGTGAACCACAGTGAAGACTGCGTCCCTCTACTCCCCTGATGAACTGTTGTCGCCCCGATCAGCGCAGTCCCCTTTGGGAGACACCAGGACTACGAGAAGAACCACGTGATGCAGAGATGATGATGGCTGGGAGACAGGGACTCTGGCCGTTCCTTATTATACAGGACCTTCCTTTGTGAAAAGAGAAGCACAGTGGAGCTTCGTAAGGAGCAGCATATGAAAATACTAGATAGATTTTTCCCTCAGTTCAGATATTGATCCATTGTTCTTGATAAAGTAAGACTTTTTCATTAAATAACATTTAAATTGACGTAATCTTATATGGCCCCTTCATGGATTGCTGCCTTGTCGTGCCGAAGGGGCTTGACTAATTCAGAGAAACTATGGGCTATGCAGTGCAGGGACACCCAAGACGGACAGGTCATAGTGGAGAGTTCCGACTAAACGCAATCTACCTGGAGCAGGAACTGGCAAGCCACTCCAGTATCTTTGCCAAGAAAAC